TTATTTGTTTTGAGAGCAAACTAGCCTACAATCTCCCACCTTCAGGGATCAATAAAGTCATAGAAGCATTTGTACACCCACTGTTCCTAGTTCTTTTTAAAGCATGTGTGTTTGTGTGTGGGTCTTCCCTGGAAGGAAGTAATTGCTGCTTCAGAAAATCAGTTCAGACATCCAGGAATTTAGCGTAGCTCAGATTGAGCAAAAGTGTCTCCACCAGAAAAGAAAAGGTTGGAGTAAAAACAGGCCACATAATCTTCATAATTTCCCCATAATCTTTCTAACCGGGGTCTTCTTATTTTGTTCTGCATGTGTAAAATATTATCCTGACCATACGTATGATTATGTTCATCATCATCATATCCCCCTTTTATGAGCGAGGGCTGCAGCTAAGAGAATGTTGCCTACACCAGTCTTGCAAAGTAGCCCAGTGTTGTTAGTCCCATTATTCCCGTTACTGGATGGAGAAATGAGTGGGAGTACTGTAAGACTACTCTGCATTGTAGTCCAGTTTTGTCATCTGGTCTCTTGTGTTGCTTATTTTAGGGCAATGAAGGAGGCTGTGAAGTTGATAGGAGCAGTAAAATTTATTAAAATGTAGAGGGGCTTGGTGGGACGTGTGAGTGTGTAGCTTGAACAGACCGCACATTTTAGTTCTTGCTGTGTGAACTCTTTTCTTTCTTTCATTGCAAGCCTTGGAAGTGAGCTAGTGTGCCATGCAACTTCTCAGCAGTTAGTGCACTCTCTGTGTTGTAGGCTATTGTGAAGGTTCCTGAATTCGTTGTGTGTTGCCTACAGGCTTAGCTGGCCAGTTGTGAATTGCCAAAACAGTACAAGTGCATCACCAAGAAAGAGGGCTCCCACTGACAATAAATGTGTTCATATAAGCAAATCTAGAAGCTATTATTATAATATAAAGAAACACTTACAGTACATGTCTTTGTACTGGTAAATGATGGTGAAGATTGTAACTACCTGATCGGTGTGCCTGGCTCAGCTGACTGTCCAAGTGCTGCTGATGGACAATTCCAAGGCCTGGCTTGTCCTTCTGATGGGTCCTTATCTTTAAACTGGACCAGGATTGGACAGTCCTTCAAACAGAGAGTGCCTTCAAGATAGAAGGCACTGTTCTAGCAGCCCTTCAAACACAAGGTTGTCCTCTGTAAAAGGCACCCAATAAACCACCCAACCTGGCCACCAAATAAGAGCAACCAACCTGTAAGAGCAGATGGCAAGAGCAGGTCTCACACACACCCTAGGGCCATTATAGAGTTGAAGGGAAAGGACTTCAGCTGTAGGTGGGCATTGTTTGTCATTGGGTCTAGATATTAAGAAGTCAAACAAACAAATGAGGTGGACCTGGTATACAAATCGCTCAAAGGGCAGATGCCCTTATTTTGGCAGCCCTTGTCACAGCTCACTTACCAGATCTAGTAGAAATGGTGGACTTTTTCCTTTGATGCTCCTGAACCTTTCAAAATGTGCAGCTATATATAGATACAAAACATATGCTTGGGTGATATATTTCTTAGGACAAGCCAACATTTCACAAATGTGCAAAGCTTTCAAGTTTTCTGGACTAGGAATGGGCAAAAGCTAGATCAAGACGTATGACAAGATCTTTGGCAATTCATAAAGGCTTAGTAAGGATTTCTGTCAACTAAATCTCTCTCCCCTAACCCGATTAATACGTATAGAGAACACTACTTTGTTTTATGCTGTTCTATAACCTGTTAGTTGTAGTAGAAGAATTGTACTTCTAAAGTTTTGTATGAGTCTGCTGGAGACGAAAAAGGGAAAGTGACCAATTCATCACAATACTACTGAAATGAAGAATATCGAGGATGATCAACAGTTAGTTTTCCTGAGGAAGGTCTGTGAGCTCTTGATACTCAAAACAGGTTCCTGAGCTCAGAATTCTTTAATTTTAAATGAACATAAGTCTTCCACACATAATACATACAACTGGGACTTGGAATGTAAGAAGTATCAATCAAGACAAACTAGAAACTCTAAAGCAAGAAATGGAATACGTAAACTTCAAACTTCTTGATGTGAGTGAGCTAAAGCAGACCGGAATGGGACATTTTCATTCAGATCAGCACAAAGGATTTTACCCTGGAATCGAGAAATTCAGAAGAAACTGAGGGCTCTGATACAGAGGCAAAATGTAGAGTATGCAGTGAGGGGCTATAATGCAAAGTCTGACTGAATTGTATCAGAATTTTCAGAAAACCTATCAACACAACCACCATTTAAGTCTACACACCCAAGTGCAATTCTGGTTTTATTTCTCTCCCTTGATTGCTCTCTGACATGCTTTTTTTTGCAACCACTGAATGAACATTCATGAGGGTTTGTTTCACTAATGCTTTTCTTCTCTTACTCTTCCATAAAACCCTTCCTTGTGGAATATCCTGGTGATAGTGGCTCCCATTCTGGTGATGGTTTCTCCCATCTCAGCTGTGGATCTTCCCAGCTCCGTCAGAGTTGTCTTCATTCTCTAGTTTGCTTCCCTAACACCGTCCCTCACTCAGCCACTGAATTTTCATAGATGGCCTTCTCTAGGAGGAGTTATGGTTCAACAACATCCTTCCTATTTTATAATACCTGATTGCTGTTCTAGGAGATGTTCATAGTTTGGGATGTTTTAAACATAACACAGCTCTGATTGGTGTTTCTGCATAACTTTGTCCAGTTGTTTTAATAGCTCTGTGGTCTTCATGATACTGTTTCTTTTAGATATTTTCCCCAACAGACTCTGGATTCTGCTGGAAACAGGTGTTTTTAATCTGAGATCATGTGGCACTGCAATTCTATGCAGGTGAACTTCCAGTTTGTGACTTCTGGAAGGCTACACCACAGCTTATTTAGGCGTGTCATAGGCAAAGGGTGAGTACTCATGCAACCAAAAAGTGCCAGTTTATTTTGGCTTACTTAATGTTTGTGCCACTATTATAATGTTTGTGCCATTTTGCCCCTTCATTGTGTTGCGTATTTATGTACATCAAATGGTAGCAGCACCAATTAAATCCATTCCAGTGCTAGGTTATATCACAACAATGTGGAAAAGTCAGAAGGTCTGTGTGAATATTTGTATGTCTAATTATATACATCTCTCAGTACAACTAAAGATTTTTTTAAGTGCATGGTCCTTTTTGCATATAGCACACATTTACATTAATGTTGTCACATTTTCTGCCACTGTATTTAGGTTTTTCAGCATCATGAAACGTGACTAAGCACGCACACAAAGAAAATGTGTAGGTGTATATTTAATTGTGTATCAATGCATATCATTGCATATCAATGCATCTTGTCATCCACCTACCCACCAAAAGACACCCATCCTGTTTCCAGCAAGCCATTCAGCACATTGTAGATGCTGCAGATGCTAAAAAACCAGATGCTTCCTTTAACAACATCAGTTCTTATCCATTTTATTTGATCCATTCAAAAAAAGAAAAAAATGACAGAACTAAGGTGGGCACATATTGTCAAAGAATACAAAGTTCACATCTTTTTATACAGTTTTGTTTTAGATTCATAGATAAAGTTAACTGTGTCTTTGAGACAAAGATGATTAATATCTTCAGTGAAAGGAAAAATCTGTAGGTAAGCATTTACACAGCTGTACTTTGATATAGGTTAAGCTTTCTCTATTACCTAGAAAAATAGAAGTGTAGCATTTGATAGTTTCTTTCAAGGTCAGGCAACCAGGTTTAAGGACGGAAGAATAGCTCAGGTTTAAAAATGGTTATGAACCACCTAGAACTTTCCCTGCAATGGTCCTACTGAAATCAATGGGAGCTGAGCAAGAGCACTGGGAGACCTATCCTGATTAATATGCTCAGAGTTGGCAAGTTTGTGTCCCAGAACCACTTTCTACACCTGAAGCCCCTTGTGGGCTGTATGTCTGCTGCCATGGCACATCCCAAAATCTCAGTGCTTTGATGCAGAATTTTGGTAACCAACTGTGACAAAGGTTTGAAAGGAACAAGATGAGCTTGTTTCAAGCCAGATCAGTCCCTTTTAAGCTTCCATCACTGTTTGCTGGTGAAAATTTGGTGGCAAGCTGCCATTTTTCTTGTCACTGTTGCTAGAGGCCAAAGCATGTATATGTGGCTCATGTTTCATGCAGCTGATACTGTATATATCTTGAGGGTCAGAAACATGTTGCATGTATGGAGGCTTTGATGGCCTCTGTGCCTGACTGCCTCTCTCCCCCCTCCCCCACCCATTGGCTCCCTTTATGGAAGTGAAAGGAGCACCCAGAATGTTCCCCAGTGCCCTGTGCATCCTTCAAAAGCTCACTGCGTTAGGAATCAGTGTAAGGAAAGGCATTAGGTTAAGATGACAGGGTAGAAGAAGCAAAGCACAAAACAGGAAGCTTTGCTTTTGCCTGTATGCTTGCAACTTCAACTCTTGAGATAAGCAAAGCGTTTTTGTATTGTAAAATGTTGCTTTTTATGGCAGAGGTTTGTTTCGCAAAACAATGTAGCGTATGTAACTTGGAAAATTACTTGTTATGCCTTTCTCTTATGCTTTGTGACACTATAGATTTCTGGCAGACTATCAAATAGTTACAATGTCTTGAGACCAGTTCTCTTGCAAACTGTCACACACGCAGGTGTTTCTGTAGTGCTGTTCTAATAAAAGCATTGCTTTTTCTTTCACTTGAAGCATACCTGCTTGTTTATCAAGGCCCCGACAATTGCACATGAGGCACAGAATCGGGTCTTGTTGTCCTTATCTTGCACTAATGCACAACCTGTCTGGTAAAACAACCCAGGCCATGTCTTTTTTTCTGTGAGGTCTGAGAATCAGAACTCAACTGGATAACCTGGCATTCATCGTCTTTCAAAAACAAAATGACACCTTTCAACGGTACACATTCCACTGTTGCTAAAACTCAGCATCTGAGTTGAAAATAAGGCTGTGTGAGTTGAGAGCTTGGGGCAGGCCATTTTTCACTGCAGCCTGATACTGAGAAGAACCTCTTCTGGAGATTGGGGAATAAGAAGCTCAGTCCCTCAGGTTGCTGCAGGAATGGCTGGAATTCTTAGAATTGGATGGGAGGTTTTCCGTGGTGTCTGCTGACAAGGAATAATGGGCTTTCTTACAAGGGGGAGCTGGACATAGCTTTTTTGGAATACACATGGAGAAGCACAAATTGCCAAGCTGACTTCCTGCCATGGATATGAAAAGCAAACCAAACAGACATGAGGGAACTGGGTGTAGTCCAAGGAGGTTCTTGGGGATGGAGAAGAACCATGTCCATGCAGTGGCTTCTTTTAGGGTTCCACCACAGTAGTTTGTACTGCCGACAAGCTGCCTTTCCAGCAGCACACGCAGTTATGAGGGAAGGGCAAAGAAACTGCCCACTCCCTGCAGGGTTATCTTGGACACAACTCTCATTTGATGTTGGCTGTTCTTTCTGAATGGAATATTAAGTAAAGCAGGTGTAAATATGACCACTATCTGGACATAACAACATGTGTACCTATGAAACCAGGTGTGTGTGAGCAGGGTGAGTCTATCAAGTGCTTAGGAGCAGAAATTAAGCTGCATTTGGCAAGGTCTTGGGTTCTAAATGGTTCAACGCACCTTTAGGGACAAGGAAAATCACAGCTCCTACATGAATGCTTTATTTGAACCACTGATGGCTAAGCCATCATCTTCTTGCCACTCTTATATTCCTACCAGACTAGTTTCTCAATCTGCTCCTTTTCCTACTGGGTATAGAGTGCAGTGATATTGCATTGCAAACCCAGATTCATATGCTAGCCAAAGCTGAGCTTTCCAAATTCACAAGATGAGCAAGTTAGGAAGCAAAATATCAGGTTTCAGATAATGGCTGGACATTTTGAACTTTGGACAATGTAACAGGTATTTTGGATTCTCCAGGTGCTGGAGGTTTTGTGATTGGGTGAACATGGGCTTTTATGTCTGCTATTCTCTCCTTAAATTTCTGCTGCAGGTATTTCTCTTCTTTGGCATACCTTTTAGCAAATGCAGACATGAGCAAACAGGCTGCCATAGTGGTTCCTCCAATACAAAATAATATTGCCCCTGCCAACTTACATATGTCAAGTGCTCGGTTAAACTGAACAGCACGTGTATCCACCACCACAAAATCTTCTACTTCAAGGGCTTCAATTTTGGGGGGCACCAGAAAACCTACTACAAGAACTATTATCCCCGTCAGCATGAACACTGTCCCCAAGATGAGTCCGACCTAGAAAACAAAGAGGTTTCAAAAAATCAGCAAAGATGCTTTATTGTTCCAGTCTTTGTCATTAAATATATCTGACATGTCACTGACGTTTGTCATCACTCCCATGAAACCTGCAATGTTGTGAGTCCCTTAAGGGTTCCATCATGGAAAATCTGAGTTGACAAATGATTTTCATGGTGTTAACTGTACCAACAAGCAGGAACACCAACAGGAATGATACTGCAGGGGTCTGTGCCATAACAGAAAGTGCGTTATATGCAGAAATCTGTAGATTTCAATCTAGAGGAAAATGAGGAACATAATAAAAGGCCAGGCAAGAGCATTGCTTCGTATCATGTTCCTTCTCTCAGTTTGTGTGTATGGGTGTGTTCACATATGCCAGTGAGAGGGACGCAAGACTCACAGCATGACTAAATAGATTTCGGCTTAATATATTCAAGAAATGCAACTGTTTGTTGTGCTTACATTATTTTCCACCTCACACAGTAACAACAGCAATGAATTTTTACATTTAAATTACAACAGCCATTCAGTATATGGGTTAGAAAAGGGTTCCCAGTGAAATCTGAAATGCAATTGTGAGAACAGGGAAGAAAATAATAATCATGTATTATTTTTTGTCTTGCAACTCTCAGCATAGAAAGTCTGATCTACCAAGCTGGGAGATTTTAAAATGTCCCACTTACTTTACTTCTTATGATGTTAGTGTTTCCGGATACAACTTTTTCCTGATAAACTTTAAACTTTTGACATCTAAAGTCAAGATCTTATGCCCACCTGAAAGGGAACCAGAAACCTTTCTAATGGCTTGCTCTTTTCTTACTCTGAAGAAAGAAATTTTAGCAGTACTATACTTTCTTAGTCAGAAGTAAATCCTATTAAGTTCAACAAGACTTACTCTCAGGCTTGTAGCCTAAGAGCAAAACCCTATGCAAGCTCATACAAGAAGCAACCAACTCCCAGCATAGCCTGGCCAGCATTGCTAGGGCTTTGTCCTGCTTCAGCTTGTGTCGGTTTGTTCCTCAAGTGAATTTTGAATTTTCAAGACCTGGATTAAAACTACTGCCAGGCATGAATTTGTTGGGTAGACTCAGCTAAACTACATTCCAGATTAAATGCACAGCATGTTGGTGATCTGAGCTTTCTGTTCTTCTGAAATGTAAGTGCACAGGCACTGGTCCGGACCACCATCACACGTGTGTGAGGATTAGACCTTCCCACCCAGGTGCTTCCTTCCTCAAAGTCCTCCCCACTTGGGGACAAAAGAAAGAAACCCTGGTGCAATAAATAAAACAAAATGTGTGTCACCCATGCACTGCCCCTTTAAAGTAGTGTGTAGTTTATCCCTTTGTTCCCTAGCTTAGAATGTGAGATAATCTGCTCCAGGGTGCTGTGTGAGTCATTGAAAGAATATTCCTGATTCACTGCAGAGGGACCTGTTCCCCAGCTCCAAGAAAATCAGAGGGCTTGGGCACCTGAAGAACCTACCTGAGCCAGCCACCTAAGGTGCTCAGTGCATACTCAGTACAGCGTTACCTTTTGCTTCATGTCAGATATTCATATCAAGAGCATACCAAGGAAATCAAATTGAGTTCCTTGGGGCAGGGGATGTTGTAGATGAACTCTGACAGAAAGGAGTGTGCTTTCCATAGCTATTTAATATTGTAAGGGGATACCCTTGTATGCTTGTGGCCCTCCCGATGTCGCTGGACTGGAACTCTCACCAGCCCCAGCCAGCATGGCCCCTGGTGAGGGTCATGTTCTGATGTGGAAGAGAGGAATTCTTCACGTTTCAATGGGTGACCCTCCACTTTGTTTAAAATCTGGATAAGATATGTGAGGGAGAGGCAGGTAGCCTCTCAGCTGTTGGGCTCCGTTCATTCTGAACAATCTGGATTGCTTTTTGATGGAGATTTGTTTTGCAAATCTGCATCAATTATTTTCATAAGCTAACATCCCAGAGTATAGCAAGTGTAGAAGGACTGCACAGCCCGTGATCATCACCAGGAAATGTCCTGTCCTGTTGAGATTGTGGGCTCTTCAGCAACAGGGAGGCCATATACAGGGTGAGTGGGTTTCAGTTTGACTGGGGGGATCACAACTGTGCTGACTGCCTGTGGGACAAACTCTTGGTAGCTGTACCTTCCAGAATGCAGAGCTCCACACATTGGGTGACTTCTGGATCTGAAAATCATCATCATATTCCCAAATGGATGCTGTGCAGTCCTCGTAAAACTGATGCAGGTACGAGCGAACTCCATAGCGCTGGTAACCAGCTTCTGTTGTCCCCTGCTGAGCCTGTCTGGATGCACAGATGTCAGCATAAGCACTCATCTTTCTCACCTGCAAGGAGAAAGATCAGACGATGCAATTAGGCTGTGCAATGGCACAGCTCCCGCACTCTGGAAGAGGCAAAAGTTACTGTGCCCCCTTGATAGCAAGGCAGTCCTATGGTGGAGGCTCGCCAGTAGAAGGTCTGGCCAGATTGTGTCGGCTGCCTTGGCCAGAATGGCTGGGTCTTAAAATTTCAAATTGAGAAAAATAGCAAAGGACCAAAAGCATCTCAACTGAGCATCTCAAGTATAATAGCAAGAGATCAAAAGCATCTCAAGTATAATTGAGATGCTGAGTTGTCTCCGTACTCCAAGAGGATAGGTTGCCCTGAGAGCTAGATGGCAATGAGAAAAACACAATGGGAAGTGGTAGGGAGAATTCCATCGATTTGCACAGTGAGCACAGAACCTGGAGTGTGGTGCCACCAGCCTTCACTTGGCACTCATATCAGGTGTGCAGCATGGAAGATTTCCAAGGACTAAAACAGATGTTGCCCATGACCAAGACATCTCGACCTTGTAGACGCTTTCCATCCATGCTTTGTTGTGTTGAATTGGCTTAGCAAGGGTGTTGGCCAATTTTCAGGCACCACTGGCAGATGAATGGGCAGTGGCTGGACATGCTTGCCGTTAGTGCATCCCAGCACTGCAGTGCAGGCATGTCTAGCCCAGTGTGTGCTGTCCTTTTACAAGGAAAGGCACTTTCACCACGATCAGTCTCAGATCAGACGCTGGAGGGCAGCAGCTTGGGAAAGGCTATTCTAAATCTTGCTTGTCTGCCTTCAGGCTGCAAACCCTCCCAACACTGAATGCTGCCTCCTTAGCCACATGTGGCACCAATTTCCTTAGCTTCTGTCTCTTGCCAGCTTACCACTCCAGTGAGGGTGAGGCCACTGCTGACGGCAGAGCACTTGGCTTGCATACAGGAGTTCTTTGCCTAATGAGGTAGCTAAGCCAGTCTGCATAAGATGGGTGGTCAAATTGGGCCCTCTGGGTGGTTTAGCCCACAGCTCCCATCAGCTTTATCCAGCATTGCCCACACCTAGTCCAGGATCTCAGAGAGCTAATCCCATCCTGAAATCCCTGGGCTTTGTTCTGACCCAGTTTAAGGCAGCTTCCTGCCTGCATGGTTTGTCCCATCAGATCTATGCATCCTTCAAGCATGCTGCACTCACATAGCCTTTCCCACAAAAATCTTGAACTGCTCTGCACGAACACTTGTTGTTTGTCCTCTGGGCCTCATAATATGGCAGCAACACCCTGCAAAAATGATGAGGCCCATTGCATAGAATCTGCTTAATAAATATTTTCTTGACAAGCAAGTTCATGTTTGCTGTCAATAAACAGTTGAATAAACAGTTCTTAAATGCTGAACTATGTTATATCCCCCCGGTCCATATATGTGCATGTGCGCACACACAGACACACAGGTAAAATCTACTTATTCTAATGTAAGCAGAACTCAGAAGCAGCACTGCAAAATGATTGTAGTTGCAACGCAATGCAGCTATTAAAATATCCCAAGCCCCTGAGCCATTGCAAAGGGTTATATCTGGGGCATGACCTGACTTCTTCCTGTTTTGCATTTAGGAGGATTACATGAAAAGTGTGAGTAAGAGACTAAGCACAGCACAAGCTACGTGTAACTGGTTCCTAAAAATAGAGTGCAATTTCCTTTTTCTGAAACCCATTGATACACTTTGATCTAAAGCAAGGTTTCTTCCCCACAACTCCCATTTCTAAATTTAATTTCTTATAGTGGGCTTAGGATCCAACCCCCTTTCCCATTAAGTTATTTCTGCTTGCAGCTCTGCATACATTACCATATATCACGGGTGATGGAGAGGAGCTCCAACCTTCTCATTTCAATTATGCAGAGATCAGTAGGAACTCACATGCAAATGTCAGGAATAGGCACAGACTTTTGCTGCTGATACTTGCATTGCTATGACTATGACAACAATAGTCAAATCCCTCCGATCACCTTCTCCCAAGGTTTTCGGTTTGGTTTTATTTTATTTTTCCCACCTGCTGTGTAAGCAGTATTTTTCCTACTGGCTTAGGAATGTCAATGCTTTATTAAAGTTTGTTTTTCTGCCCTAAGCCCTTCATGCTTCTTTTCCCCGCTCCATGTGCAATCAAGGAACTCCAATATGCTGGATATGAAACATTCAAAGAGTGCAGCATTTCCAATATGAGAGGCAGTTAATTTTATTTGTGCACTCTTTAAAAAGCAGAGGCAAACAGCATTTGCTACACTGTGACACTCCTCCTCTTAAGGGCTGTCTGTTTACTGAGCGGATCAAGGGTGGGTTTGCAGGGCTGGGAAAGGGAAAGAAACTGCCAGGGCAGGCTGCTGAATTACCCTTTCCAGTCACAGTCTGTCATGTTGCCCAAGCCCAGTGATGGTGGGTGGTGAGGACAGTTTACAAACCACCCAGTAGCCCCAGGACGCGCCAGGGGTTGGGGGTGGTTTGTAAACTCACCCATTGCCCGCCCTTGCTGAATGATAAGCTTTGACCACGGAGCATAATTCAGTGGTGTGGAACTTGATTGCAGAAGGTGAAAGATAGGCTACAGTGGCTTTTTTCCCTTCCCAGTTATGCGATGCATAGTTGTAACTGTATGCCAGCCAGAAGGTGCGAAGATGAGATACAAGAACTCCAGCATCAGGGCAGAAAGGTGTCTGTGGATCATACGATTTCTGGCTAGCAAGCCAGCTCACTTGCCTGCTTTTTGGAAAGCTTTATGTGCAGCAACTGAATGCATTCTCTTCTGCCTTGGCCTGAGGCTGAATGGCAGTGCAGCCAACTTTGGCCCTTGCCCTAAACTGGCAGTAGCTCCACCAGTAGAGGAACTTACTCATGTCACATGAGACCATGATTGGCACAGGACTGTGACAGAAGTCAGTGGGATGGACGGGAGATGAGGACAACTAAGGAGCCAGAGAGGTTCGCCCAAGCACCTGGTCCGGGGCTCTTGTAGCAGACATGCTGGGTTTGCCTTTGCTTTAAGCTACTTTTCCTCTCTGCAGCTGGTTTTATTCTCTTGTTCTACCTGAGTCTAGTTTACATCCATGCTGAATTTCAAACTGTTGCATTTCTTGTTGTGAGCCAGCCCACAAATGCACTGATTAAATAGTACCCAGTATAAGCAGGAAATCAATTCGCCCACACTGCACTCTGAAATTATTTTGGCACCATTGAACCACTTTTTTCAGCACAGCGCAGACTGAGGACTCAGGTAGACATGATGGTAAAAGAGCAGCATCTAGGTGAACCTGACTTTTTCTCCCTATTGTGAGGCCCTGATCTGGATAAAGAACTTCATATGCAAATAGGGGTTGCTATAGCTTCTCACCAATCACTTCCTCCCATAAATTTTTCCCCATATGGGAAGAAAGAAAATAAAACTACATTGGTGCCAGTGGAGGTTCTCCCCTTTTCTCATTCCCATTTTGGGAGGAAGACAAATATGGGCAAGAGGAAGCTTTCCAGCTGTTGGCAATTTTGGTTCTAACAGACTTCGTTAGGGAAGAAATAAGCCCTAATTATGTCATACAATTACAGAGCCTACTATGGCAGGAACAGCTCTCTGCTGCACCCAGATGCACACCCCTTCTTTGGGTCGCAGCCCTGATCAGCAGTTATCAGTTAAAAAATGGAATTGCAACTAAGGGGAAATATAGCAGAACAGAACGTGCCTGCTTGATGAATTCAGAATGCTACCACAGAATGCTATTGCTCAATTAAACAGTAAAAAGCATCTTTGTAATCCGAAGGCCAGCTGAAATGTCCTTGGAAGGCAAAGACATCTCATTGAGAACAAGCAAGCCATTATTTCCAAAGGTCAGAGTGCCCTTCTCTTAGTGCAGGATCCAGTCTCTTCTTTTCTTCCTTTTGCTGCATTGGGTAACTTGCTCAGTTCAGTTTCTCCCAAATAAGTAACGGTGTGGGGGCTCCCATGGCACCAAACATCTCTTTGCCCTATACATTTTCCTATTGCGAAGCTAGATGTGGCAGGCAGGGAAGCTGGAAGCAGTGAACGACCATCTCGCAGTATCATGCAGGCACTGCTGGTCGGTGGCCGGCAGCACCTGTTGCAGCCAGATGACTTCATCTGCCCACACCTACACAGAGCAATCCTGTCCGTTCACCACTTGTAGCTGGTTGGAAGAAAAGTGGCTTAAGTGGACAGGCTGCATGGAACACCCGTCTCGGGTGCCTTCAGTGGTTGCCTGCTAGAAAGGGCAAGAGCAAGAATGGTGCTAAGTACCTGAAAGATCCAGAGTTTAGGCCCACAGAAAGGAGAAAAAATGCAGAAATGCAGATTTATATATATTCTAAACTCTCTCACTCTCTCTTTCTGTCTTTGTATGCACACGTGCCTTTAAAATACCCTGTCCCCTGAGCACACACCTATTCGTAGAAAGGGATGTATAAACAGGGGAGAGGGCTAGGGCTAGGGTTGGGGTTGCTTTCAGGTAAACTTTAGGCACAAGGATTCAGTGGGGGAGGCAGCAGAAGGTGAAGGACATGTGGGGGAAAAACAAACAAACAGATTATCCAGAGGGATCAGATGCAACAGAATTTATCAGGGTGGCTGCATGTTTATTTCAGCTGGAGCTCAAGGACACCACAGTGGTGGGGAAGATGGTCTTCCAGAGATTTGGGGTTCCAAATGAAGGATTTGGTGGTCCACCCTAACACCACCTCTGGGTGCAAGAAAGCATTCCATCTTGCTTTTTACCCAACCAGCCACGGTTGGGACCCAGAACCCACCTCCTTAGTGATCCCAAGACAGACTTGACAATCTTTTACAGGTAGTCCTTACCTTTTATCAGTAAACTCATTTATCATGTTAGGTTAGTACCTGTTTCTTTCATGCTTTGGTGCTAACATAGCATGAAATAGACTGCTCACAGCAAAGTACCATAGTAAGTTTAGCAGAAGAGAGTTGAAAGATAAACCAGAATAAACACAACTTACAACAATTATGGAG